CCGGGAATAGAATTGAAGGTCTAGAATAAACCCATACAGTTGATTTTCAACAAGTATGCTAAGACTGTTCAATGGAAAAAGAAAAGTCTCTTCAGCAAATAGTATGGGACAACTAAATACCTGTATATAGAAGAATGAAGTTGGATCCTTACTTCATATTATATATAAAAATTAGATGCAGTGCCTGAGTGGTTTAGTCACTTAAGCATCTGACTGTTGATTTTGGCTCAGGTCATGATCTCATGGTTCATAAGATCAAGTCCCACATTAGACTCTGCACTGGCCAGTCTGCACTGCCAGTGCAGAGTCTGCTTCTCTGTCTCTATTTCCTGCTCCTCCCCCATGCATTCACATACTCTCTCAAAATAAATAAACTTATTAAAAATCATATAAAAATAGATCAAAACCTATATATATGAGAGGCAAAACTATAAACCTTCTAGAGGAAAATATAAGGGTAAATCTTCATAATCTTTGATTTGGCAAAGGTTTCTTAGATATGACACCAAAAGCATAAACACCAAAAGAAGAGATAAATTTGGCTTCATCAAAATTAAAAACTTTGTATATCAAAGGACACTATCAAAGAGTGAAAAGACAACCCAATGAATGGGCAAAAATAATTGCAAATCATATATCTGATGACGGTCTAATAACCAAAATATATAAAAGAATGCTTAAAACTCAACAACAAAGACAAACAACCCAATTTAAAAATGGGTAAAGGGCTTGAACAGACATTTCTCCAAAGAGGATATACAAATGGCCAATGAATACATGAAAAGATGTTCAATGCCATTAGTTATTAGGGAAACACAAATGAAAATCACAATGAGGGGTGCCTGGCTGACTCAGCAGAGCACGGGACTCTTGATCTCAGGGTTTTAAGTTCAAGACCCACTTTGGATGTAGGGATTACTTAAAAATCTTTTATTTAAGTTTATTTATTTATTTTACGAGAGAGCGAGTGGGAAGAGGCAGAGAGAGAGGGAGAGAAAGAATCCCAAGCAAGCTCTGTGCTGTAGCACAGAGCTCAACTGTGGGGCTCAAACTCATGAACCATGAGATCATGACCCGAGCTGAAGTCAAAAGTCAAATGCTTAACTGACTGAGCCACCCAGGTGCCGCTAAAAATAAAATCTTAAGAAAAAAAAAAGAAAGATAATCACAATGAGTTATGACTTTACACTTACTAGGATGGCAACAGTGAAAAACAAAACAAAACAAAACAAAACAAAAAACCATGAAGTATTAAGTGTTGGCAAGAACATGGAGAAATTGGAACTGTGCATTGCAGGTAGGGCTGTAAAATGGTAGAGCCACTGTGGAAAATAGTTGGCAGTTCCTTAATAAAGCTAAACACAGAATTATCATATGACCCAGTGATTACACATCTAGATATATACTTGAAAGAAAAAAAAAATAGGTGGTCAACAAAAATTTGTAAAAGAATGTTTATACAGCACTATTCATAATAGCCAAAAAGTAGAAATAATTCAAATGTCCACCAACAGATGAATAGATAAGCAAAATGTAGTCATACAACTGAATATTATTTAGCCATAAAAAATAAAGTATTGATATATGCTTCAGTAGATTGAACGCTGAAAACATCATGCTAAGTAAAAGTAGCCAGACACAAAATGTCACATGTTGTATGATTCCATTTATATGAAAGATACAGAATAGATGAATCCATAGAGTCAGAAAGCAGATTAGTCTTTGCCAGGGACTGTGGGTAGGAGAGAACAGCGGGTGACTACTTAATAGATACAGGATTTTCTTTTAGGGTGATGAAAATGTTCTGGAACTAGATAGTTGTGGTGATCACCCAGCATTATCAATGTACTAAATGCCAATGAATTGTACACTTTGGTGAACAGTATGTGTGTTTTTCTGCAATTTAAAAATTATTTTTAATTAAAAATTTTTGCATGATTATTAAATATAATAAAGTCTCATATCAGAAAAGGGAATGAGTAAGTAAAACCATAGTAAAGGTAACTGATAAAAGGTTAACATCTGATTTATTTATAAAGATTTGACACAAAGATATAGGATCAACCTCCACAGCTATCAGGCTAAATGGTAAAATGGATGCACAGATTATATACCAACAAATAATTATAGTAAAATTCCTCATATAAAAATGGAGAGGGCACCAGAAAGTAAATGCTTATTAAAACCTCTTGAAGGAATCATTATATTCTAAATGCCTTAGAGTTAAAAAGCCAATGTGGTCAGGCCACCTATAAATAAGTTTAAACATTTCCGATAACATTGTGAAACTGTTCTAGAGAACAATCTGAAAATATGTAATAGGAACTATAAAGCTGGACAAGTACTTTGACCTAGTAATTTCAGTTTGGGAACTACTTTTAAAGGAATACACTTGGGGTACCCGAGTGGGTCAGTCATTTAAGTGTCCGACTCTTGATTTTAGCTCAGGTCATGATCTCACAGTTAGTGAGTGTGAGCCCCGCAACCGGCTCCACACTGACATGGCAGAGTCTACTTGGGATTCTGGGTCCCTGTCTTTCTACCCCTCCCCCACCACAATATTTCTCTCTCAAAAATAAATGAATAAACTTAAAAAATAAAGGAACACAAAAGTATAAGCAGGAAATAATTTGAAAAAAGATATTTATAGCCATGACAACATGAGAAAATGTGAAATAATGTAAATAACCAATAAAAAGGTAGAGTTAATTGCACTATTATTATTGCCTAAGCACAATGGAATATATGCATGTGTCTCTATGTGTGTATATATGTATATGCCTATTTAAAATGACGACTGTGTAACTATTTGATAGGTTAAAATGTGTGTAAAGATAATGCCAATGTAAATCACAAAACAGCACTCCCATTGATTTCAACTTATTATATACACTGAAAAGAATTTGGAGTAAGAGTTTAAAACTCAACAAACTCTTTTAAAGAAGTTGTAGAGAAAAATAATTTCCTGGCAATTACTTTCCAATCACATTCTTTATCTAAACATCAGTAAAAAACAAAAAAAATAATAAGGTATGGCAACAATAAAAAGTTTCATAGGATAAACTATAAGTTTAGGAGAAAGTCTTAAGTGAATTAAGATATTGAATTAAGATTTTTTTTTGTCCTTACTATACACCTCTTTTCGGTAAGATAGAAGTTTTTAGGCCAATTCCTCAACAAGATTTTGAGAAAAATTGTTTTTAATGTATTTAAAACATCAGCCACATTTATTTAATAAAAATGTTTTTCATATGATACTTCAGTAAACACACATGGATACACTTTGAAATATCAAGGAAGGAAAGTCAGTTAAATGGATGCAAAGTATATCTTCATATAGAGGGAGAAATATGAACTGTCAAGAAGACCAATAAAAATACTATGAAGAGGTTAAAAATTGTAACACTGCAGTCAGTCCTCACTGTATGAGCAACCTGTGCACAAATAACCGCCAAAACGTTGCTCTGAACAGTTGTTGCCATAGAAGCCATCATAGAAAGCAAATAAAAGCAAACTGCAGCTTGTAGACATTTCCACTTCTGAACAGAGAGAATGTCTACAAGCTGCAGTTTGCCTTTGTTTGCTTTTTATGAATCCTTCATTGCAGCACAGTAGAGAATACTGAAAGAGGTTACATGTCTACTAAGAGGGGATGAGTTCAATAAAATACTACACACATGTATAATGGAACATGATACACTCATTAATTGGAAGAGATTTTTATATACAGATATGGAATATACTCCAAAATATATTGTTGAGGAAAAATAAAAATAAACAACAACAGCAGCAGCAGCAGCAGCAACAACAGCAAAAAAGAAGTTAAAGGGAAAAGCTTTGTAAAGCTGAAACAGTGTAAAATAGAGTTTAAGGGAACTGACCTAAGAGACACTGTCTGGTCCAAATTCTCTCTACTACCAGAAATTATCTTATACTTCCTAAGAATCTGCCAATTAGAGAGTTATACAGATTAACAGGTATTGTCCACTTATCAAACTTGATACCTCTGAAATAATTAAGAAGTGATATTTTATTACACATTATTATGAATTTGTTCAATTTCTTTCACTTCTAATACCTAAATGAAGCAAATTGCAACTGGAGAGAATGCAAAAGACAGGAGCATTGAGCCCTCTATTACTGTAGTCTTCCCAGGTCTGTATATCTCCCAGAATCCTTTTTTCAAAACTGTTGATCTTCTTCTAATCAAAGTTTTCATTCATTAGCCTAACAAAATATATCTTTTCTCACTTCTCCAAAAATATTTTAGTTATAAGAACTAATAGCATTTAAAAAAAAATCAACTCACCTGAGGTTTATTATTTAATAGTGGAGAACATGAGAAGCTTTTAAAGTTTTCTTTAAAATATCTCTATCCAGGGGCTCCTGGGTGCCCCTCTCTCTCTTTTTATTTTTGAGAGAGAGAGCGTGTGTGCATGTGTATGCGAGAGAGAGAGAGAGAGAGAGAGAGAGCGAGCGAGCGGAAGAGGGGCAAAGAAAGAGAGGGACAGAGGATCTGAAGTAGGTTCTATACCTACAGCAGAGAACCTGATGCAGGGCCTGAACTCAGGAGCCTTGAGATCATGACCTGAGCTGAAGTTGAACACAACCAACTGAGCCACCCAGGTGCCCTGAGTCTCCAACTCTTGACTTCTGCAGTTTGTGAGATCAAGCCCTGTATTGTGATCTGGGCTGACAACACTGAGTGAGCCTGCTTGGGATTCTCTCTCTCCCCCTCTCTGCACCTCCCCTGCTTGAATGCACTTACACACACTCTCTCTCATAAAATAAATAAATAAACTTTTAAAAAAATAATAAAATATCTCCATCCATTTAAACTTTCTTTCCTTTTAAATTTTACCACCATCACACATTCTCTTTGTATGCCTATAACTTGACTATACAGTCATTAGAAATTATAATAATGAAGACCTTAATTGAGCCTTATAAATATATTTAAAGAAATCTTTTCAGCATAACATTCATCAACTGATTCTTACTTTGCTTCAACTTATGGAAATCACCGACTCTATCCTTGGTAGCCTGCTTTAGTATATCTGCTTGAATTCTGGGTACATTTTCCAAGTTCGGGCCTGGAATTAAACGCTGAAGAGGATTGGAAGGGTTTTGCTTTGAAGTTCCAGGATTTCCTTTGTGGTGTCCATGAGAATCTATGGCATAAAAATATCAAATTAAGGTCATATTTTGCAGAGGTATTTCACAAGACCTGCTTAGAAAACTAAGACATGCTGTTGTTTGATATTGAGTAGTCAGGTAGCTTTTTTTTTTTTTTTTTTGGCTTTATTATAATTTCCTTAATCAAATCTTACAGCCAATGTGATTTTAGCTTTGTGAAGTTTACTAATCATTCTTAGGTAAGTATCATTAGTACTGATTATAAATAAACCTATTAGCCAAAATGATACATAGTAGAAACCCAAAGATTTAACTGACATTGAGACCTGTATCTTTTTCTTGTCTACATTTTTCTAACTCTACATTGCTGTCAGAAATCTCTAGCCTCTAAGTCATTTTCATCTATACAGTGACTCAGACTCACAACTGTTAACTTTTTTTTTTAGTTTATTTATTTTTAAGTAATCTCTATACCCAATATGGGGCCCAAATTTACGACACAGAGATCAAGAGTTGCATGCTCTTCTGATTGAGCCAGCCAGGTGCCCCATGTTAACTCTTGATTTTTTTTTTTTAAGTTTATTTTATTTTGAGAGAGTGCATGTGCAAGTGGTGGGAGGAGCAGAGAGAGAGAGGGAGAGAGAGAATCCCAAGCGGATTTCTCACTGTAAGCACAGAGCCCAAAGCAGGGCTCACTTGGGAATCATGAGATCATGACCTGAGCAGAAATCAAGTCAGATGCTTAACTGACTGAACCACCCAGGATCTGCAACTCTTGATTCTTTCTTATTGGTAACTCCTGGATATAACTTTTCTTTTCCTCAGTCCCATTTTTCCCTCATAAAAGTCTTCATTTAGGGGGTGCCTGGGGAGCTCGGTTGGTTGAGTGTCCAACTTCAGCTCAGGTCATGATCTCACAGTTTGTGAGTTTGAGCCCTACATCAGGCTCTGTGCTGATAGTTCAGAGCCAGAAGTCTGTTTCGGATTCTGCTCCTCCACAACTTGCACTCTGTCTCTCTCTCTCTCACAAAAGTAAATAAACATTAAAAAAAACTTTTTTTAAAGTTTCATTTAGATCCTTATTATAATTAACTTTAATCACAACAATTCTCATTTTAGGGAAACATTTCTATAAAATCAAATAACAAACATACATTCATAAGTATGGAATAGAGCTGAATATAGATGGATGTAGTAGTTAATAGAAGGCCTCTGTGAGATAAACTTGAATTCATTTTGAAGAGAGTAAATACATATAGACTGGCAAAGATGAAAGAGAATATAGCCCAGTGTGGCAGAATAATTCTTCTGCTCTTAATAATGCTTTATTAAAAAAAATTTTTTTTTAATGTTTTATTTATTTCTGAGAGAGAGAGACAGCGTGAACAGGGGAGGGTCAGAGTGAGAGGGAGATACAGAATCCAAAACAGGCTCCAGGCTCTGAGCTGGCTGTCAGCAAAGGGTTGAACATGGGGCTCGAACCCACGAACCGTGAGATCACGACCTGAGCTGAAGTCGGACACTTAACCAACTGAGCCACCCAGGCACCCCAATAATGCTTTAGACAAAGTGAATTTTTATTTTTATTTTTTTAAGCTTATTTATTTATTGAGGGGGTAGAGGGGCAGAGAGAGAAGGATCTATCAAATTCCAAGCAGGCTCTACACTGTCAGTGCAGAGTCTGACACTGGGCTCGATCTCACAAACTGAGAGATCATGACCAGAGGTAAAATCAAAAGTCAGATGCGTAACCGCCTAAACCACCTAGGTGCCCCAACAAACTGCATTTGTAAATCATTATTTCTTCCTGAGCTTTGATCAATCACTGCAAAATATATAACATTAACCAGAAGAATGAATGTTACTTCAGCATCCTGCTAAATGACATGTTTTATTCACTATGTAACAATACTTGACCAGCAAAATGGTTTTCAAATGGAATTTTAAGATTAAGACTTCAGGGGTACCTGGGTGGCTCAGAGTCCAACTTTGGCTCAAGTCATGATTACATAGTTGGTGAGTTCGATGGGCTCACCACATTGGGCTGGAGGCTGTCAGCACAGAGCCCACTTCAGATTCTCTGCCTGCCTCTGCACCTCCCCCGCTTGTGCACGTGCACGTGCTCTCTCACTTGCTTGCTCGCTCCTCTCTCTCTAATAAACATTAAAAAAAAAGAAATTAAAAAAAAAAGAATAAAACCTCACACCTGGAACCATATTTGGGGAGAAAGGTTGTCCAGTTGGGATATGGGAGATTGCTTGATGACTTTCATACTGAGCAACGGAAATAGAGGGTTTCTTTAAAGCTGAAAGAAAAAAAAAAGATCCATATTATTCCTATTGATACTATAGGAATACTATGATTTCTAAGAACCAACCACCATGAATCTATTTACACTGCACTAATCCTATGATGCTTATTTTAATTTTATAATCTTTATAGTTGGATTATTAACTAATTAATTTATGGTTACTAATTGATATTGTATTACACATCACCAGTTTTGGTGATCAGTAAATCTGACCAGAATATAAAATAGTTACAACTCTACATTTTGTTCACCACTATGTCCCCAACACCTAGAATATGTGGCACATAATAAAAGCTCACCTAAGATTTGATGAATGGATAAATAAATGAATCTGCTCAGATACAGTAAGATCTTTTTCTATGCATAGTATATATTTATTTATAAATAAAAATTGTCATTTACAGATTAGGTGAAGCAATGAGAATGTGTTACTCTAAGATGCTCAGATATTAAATAAAAACCAAACTGATGGAACAAGTTGAATTTTTGAAGAGGGAACATTTATGTTTTGTACAAAGAGCTTTACTAATAAAGATGTACACACTTCTAGTGAGGACTTTATTTTTCTTTAAGAAATGAAGACAACAGGGAAAGATCATGTTCCACTCAGTACCACTAACTCCACTGCTTCCTTGGGCGGCTTAACATGATAGAAAGGCAATGAGCAAATAAGGAAACCAGAGAGAAGGGAAACAGATAAGGAGAAAAAAAAATACAGAGCCCATCTGTAAGATATGGTTAGTGGCACATTTTATTCTCCTAAAATCTTGAGTGGCAGAGACAATGCTGTATGTTCCTCTTTCATCAGATTTTTCCTGGGCACAGACGAATATCAGCCTTCTTTACACTTGGGAGTCATAAGACTCGGTTGAGGATGTAGGTGAAACCGAACATACCACTTCCAGGTATGGTGATAAAATCTGCGCAAATCACATATGAGCTCTTCCCTTTCTGCCACAATGAAGGATGCCACATGTGAAGATGATGATATCAAATAACAGAAAGAGACACTGCTTGGAGGAGAGCTACAAATCATCATCCCACCTGCATCAGACTGTAATATGAATAATAAATAAATCTTTGTTCTAAGCCACTGCAATTAGGGGGCTGTTTGTTAATATATCACAGCCTAATCAATTCTAACTGGCATACTTGGATTATTTTCATAATCTTGAAAGTTTATTTCAGTGAGTGTATTTCATTTATTATTACAGAGATATCTAAACTTAAGGCCCCAAGGAATTTAAAATTCACTTTAAGAAAGCAATCTACTCAAATTTACAGAAAGTTGAGGTTTTCTATATCTCACTATATTCCCATTACCTTATTCTTATTTCTAGAGTCAATGTCCAACACCCACTTCTGCACATAAGACAGTTAAATAACAATCAGCTAACATCTTGAAAGAGCAATACTTTGCTGGGTTTAATTAACACAGTTTTGATTTGCTAACAGACTCTGAGGACACTAAGCATCTGGTAGAGATATTTGGAAAGAGAAGTCCGTCACAATCTACAAATCTGTTAATCACTGTTGGAGCCTAGCTGGCTCTAGCACTACTCAAACCAGAAGACAAAAGAGGGCATCTTCATCACTAAATAAGAAGTAATTATAAATGTCCTTAGCTTTATATAACAATGCTTCATACTCAAGAACAAAGTGAATATTTAGAGGCAAAGCTAGGATATATACAGGTGACCAAAAAAAAAAAAAAATGCAGGATTAAAAAGAGCCTCTGTAAAACACCCAGAGAAGTTTAGAACTGATATAGCATAAACAGAGTAGTAATATGGAGGCCTTATAAGTTTGATAGGAATAACACATGTTCCTAGAGAAAATTCAGAAAAATCTAAAAGCACAAAGAAATTTAAGGCCTTATAAGTTTGATAGGAATAACACATGTTCCTAGAGAAAATTCAGAAAAATCTAAAAGCACAAAGAAATTTAAAATTTGCTATAACCAAATATATATATATATATATATAACCAAATGATAACCTGTTATCATTTCAAGACCATCTCTAATGTTTTGTGGGGTTTTTTTGCTGTACTTTATACTGTATACCTTAAACAAAAGTAGGATCTCATCATACATACTACCTTATAATCTGATTTTTATTTAATATTTTATACATATTTTTCTTTGTTATCCCATTTTCTTCTACAACATTCCCAAGTGGTAATGCTGAATCAAAACTTCCATTTTAATGTTACATATATGTCAACTAAAAAAATAATAAATGAAAATATTTTTAAAAACACAAACAAAAATTTCCAATGTAACAGGTTTGGATAGAAAGATCTGGGTAAAGAGCTGCCACAGGGATCTTAGGGTCCCATAAACTATATCAGCTAAGCTAGCTGGTGAACAGGCTTTTAACACTTAGGAAAAAGAAATGTATGTTCTGTAAACATTTTAGATTCTACGTTTTTACAATGACTTTTTGTTTACTTTCCTTTTTTGTTTCCTTGAAAAGTTCCTTAAAACAAAAAAAACAAAAAAACAGAAACAAAAAAATAAACCTCGAGCCTTGTTTCTGTTGAACTAAGGGGAAAGGTAATTTACTTATATCAGGACAAGATAGAGGTTTACCCAGGGGTCAGACCGAATAGCTACAGTCAGTAGTACCAAAACCGTTGAAGAACTAGAAAACTACTAGTGGGTCTAGAGACAGGTAGAATGCTAATCTCACATTCCAATTTTCTACAGAAAAGTCTTCAGACATTTTTTCTGTACACATACAAGTATCTAATGTTTATTCCACAAAAATGAGATATTATTCTTGCTTTCTTGTAACCTGTTTCCATTAAAAATCACAGATATATTTGTATGTTAATAAATACAGCTCCACATTATCCTTTTTAACAATCCACAAAACACTCTTTATGGATATAGCAAATTTAATGAATTAACCCTCTCTATAACACTTATATAACTTTCAATTTTGTGTCGAGCATTTTTATTTATTTTTTTAATGTTTAGTTTTGAGAGAGACTGAGAGACAAAGCACGAGCAGGGGAAGGGCAGAGAGAGAGAATCTAAAGTAGGCTACAGGCTCTGAGCTGTGAGCACAGAGCCCTATGCAGGGCTCGAACTAAGCAGTGGACGATAGCCATATTCACTTCTTAAACTAAGAGAAACTAAATAATAAATGTGAGCTTAAAGACATCAGAAGTGGGTGAGAGGAAGGATCAGACACTAAAAAGACTGCAAACAATAATTGCCTTTATTATGAAAAGTACCGAAGATAAAATGACAAAGCCTACTTATGACAAAGACAAAACACAGGATACAAAGGCACTTGGAGCACAAAGCTTTTATCCTACTACTAAAGTCCTGGGTTTTATATTTTTTAAAAAGGAGAGTTATCAATATGGAAATTCAATCACTCAACAATATTTATTAAATATCTATTAGATGCTATGCACGGTTCTAAAAAGCTGGAGATGTAACAGTGAACAAAAAAGACCAAGCTATTGGCCCCATTAAGCTTACATTCCTGTTGGGTAGATAATAGGTAAACAAAAAAGTATGTATGAAATATAATATAAATCACAGAGCAAAAAGTGCTATGTACAAAATAAAACAGGAGATGTAATGAAGGGTGGTGGGAGATTCTATTTTAGATAGCTTGGTCAGGGGAGGCATTTTCAAGGAAGAGACATCTGAGCAGAGTGAATGAAACATGAAGGAAGAACATTCAGGCAAAGACCAGCAAGTACAAAGACCCTGAGAAAGGAGCATACATAGCATATCTGAGGAACTGCAAAGGAAGAGTAAGGGGAAAGTGTTAGAAGTGAAGTCAGAGAAGAAAGAAGGGTCTATATTAGGGACAAAACAGTTAAAATGTTAGGAATAATTGTTTAGAGAGTAGGGGAGCTGATGGCTGGGACTACACTTGGTAATTCCAAGGGAGGCAATAATATACTAATTATAATAGTAGCTTCCATTTTCTGAGTGCTTAGTATAAACCAGACACTAATCTCATGTCACCCTCAAATCTATGTGAGAGAGATGTATCTTTCACAGATGAGGAAAATGAAACTCATGGCAGAAGAGATGAGACATACATTTCACTTGACTTAAAAATTCAAAGTAGTCATTTCTGGAAAAATTGGCTGCAATGCTTATAAAAGGCAACATTTAGGGTTAATCCTCCACTCCTCTATTAGCTCTCAGCTGTAGTCTCTACTCTGAGAACCAAAAAAGACCTGTCCTCATTTCCTTTTTCCAATGACAGGATTACAACCTTTAAAATGTTCAAATCTTCCAGTTTCTGTCTTACAGAAAAGCTTCACAATCCAGTGACTATGACTATGGAAAAGTAGTATGGCATAAATAAGCAATGGACCTCAATTCTGAGAACACTTCAGTATTACAGATATATTGAACACGGGGGCGGTACCTAGGTATCTATATTTATTAAAAGCTCCAAAAGTGGTTCTGTTGCATCGCCAAAATTGTCAAAGACAGAGTAAAAAGCATGAGCTTTGGAGTCATACAGACCAGGACTCAAATCATTACTCTGTAATTTATCAATTGTATGATTTTGGATTAGTGACTAATTTCTCAAAGCCCCAGTCTTCATCTGAAACACAGGGATGTTGCCATTTACCCTGCATGATCAATTTGGAGACCAAGTGAGAATATTAGCTAATGCATTATGATACAAGCCTAGCAAATAGTAGGTGTTCAGTGGACACTGAAGTATTTTAGAGTTGTTGAAGTATTGATCCTTAGAATGAAGAAAGAATCCAAGGTTCATGTTGTAAAAACAAAAACATTTAAATGTGAAGCTGTTGGCTCTAACCAATTTTTTGAGCCTCTTGATTACATAGTTTGATCACACTTAGATGACACCTAAAGAATGTGTACTTATAGTAATGTTTTGAGAAGTGATGAAATGCTATTTGGTAAGTGCACATAAAAATATTATTCATCCTGAAGCATGAGTATTAAATACAAAACAATGATGTAACATTCTTATGTTACT